TATGAACAAATGAAGTGCACCCGAATACACGAGGAGTAAGGTTGAAGGACTTTCGAGTATCAGGATAGAATTGAGACAAAGTCTCCAGTGGACTCTTAAACCCCAAGACTCTGTAAGGAATTCTGTTTATAACATAGGCTGATGTGATGATAGCCTCCCCCCACAAGGATTTGGGTACATTTTGCTGGAATAATAGGGCTCTAGTATACTCGAGAAGATGTCTGTTTTTCCTCTCTGCCACTCCATTTTGTTGTGGAGTGGTAATGCAAGATGATTCATGTATAATTCCCTCCTTTTGAAAATATGGAGTCAAGGTTTGGTTGAAGTAATACCGGGTATTATCGGAGTGAATATTTTTTATTTTTGTGCCAAACTGGTTTTGGATCATTGCATGAAAGGTGGGAAAAATATGGCTCACATCAGATTTGTTTTTGAGTAAATATATCTAGGAGACCCTCGTACAATCATCAATGAAACTCACAAACCACCTATACCCGGAGACACTTGGAATGGTGGATGGTCCCCAAATGTCACTATGTACCAAAAAGAAGGGAAATGAAGATTTTTTATTACTGATAGGAAACGGTACACGAGTGTGTTTCGCATACTCACAAATATCACAATGAAAGGATTGAACATCCAAACCTTTAAACAAGGCAGGAAACATTATTTTTAATGTGGAAAAAGACAAATGACCTAGACGCCTATGATGTAACCAAATAATATCTTTATTGGAAGAAGAAAATAATGAGAGCACGACTGGTTTTTTCACTTCCAGTTTGATCAGGTATATACAAGGAAAAGAGATCCTATTATGACTTCGAGGCAGGAACAAGCCACTGAACTGACTCTTGGAAATGAGGTAAAAATCTGTGAACCAAGTTTAAATATAGCACCAGTAGATTCTTCTCCCAACAGTGACCTTGATCTTAATCTGCCTATAGCTGTGAGAAAACAAACCCGAGAATGCACAAAAAGACCTCTATATCCCCTATCTAATTTTGTGACTTTTTAGAAATTCTCTCCAAGCCACCAAATTTTCGTTTCAACTCTAAACACAATTCCTATTCCTAACTCATTATCTGAGGCATTATCAAAGAAAGAATGGAGACTTGCTATGGAAGCTGAAATGGATGCACTACAAAAGAATGAAACTTGGGAGTTGGTTGATTTACCTAAGGGTAAGAAGCCAGTAGGCTGTAAGTGGGTGTTTGCAGTGAACTTTAGGGCAGAGGGATCTCTAGAACGCTATAAGGCAAGGCTGGTTGCAAAGGGATATACTCAAACGTATGGGGTGGACTACCAAGAAACATTTGCACCAGTAGCAAAGATGAACACCGTAAGAATCTTGCTGTCCTTGGCTGTCAACTTTGATTGGGAATTACAACAGTATGATGTGAAGAATGCCTTCCTCCATGGGGAACTAGAAGAGGAGATTTATATGAGTATCCCACCAGGGTTTAGTGGAGTTGAGGATCCCAAAGTTTGCCGGCTAAAAAGGGCATTATATGGGTTAAAACAATCACCTTGGGCATGGTTTGGACGGTTTGCCAAGGTGATGATAGCTAATAATTACAAACAAAGTCAAGGTGATCATACACTCTTCATCAAGCATTCGGCCTCAGGGGGAGTCACGATATTGATAGTATATGTGGATGACATTATAGTAATAGGGAATGATGAGGTAGAAGGAGGCTGTAGCCAAGGAATTCAAAATAAAAGATCTAGGGAGACTAAAGTACTTTCTGGGAATTGAGGTAGCTCGGTCTAGACAGGGAATGTTTATCTCCCAACAAAAGTATGTCACAGATTTACTCAAGGAGACCGGATTGATGGCTAGCAAACCGGTTGGAACTCCTATTGAACAGAACCACAGATTGGGAGAAGCTTTTGGAGATAAGGCAGTGGATAGAGAAGTGTATAAGAGGCTTGTTGGCAAACTCATTTACCTTGCTCATACTCGGCCAGATATAGCCTATTCGGTTAGTGTCATTAGTCAGTTTATGCATGATCCTAGAGAAGTCCATCTACATGCAGTCTATCGAGTCCTTCATTACTTAAAAGCACATCCTGGGAAAGGAGTCCTATTCAAGAAAGCATCGAATATTGACCTGGCAGTATACACAGATGCTGACTTTGCAGGATCACCAGTTGATAGGCGATCAACTACGGGCTATTGCACGTTCCTTGGAGGGAACTTAATTTCCTGGAGAAGCAAGAAACAAAACGTGGTAGCAAGGTCAAGTGCCGAAGATGAGTTTAGAGCTATGGCAGCAGGAGTATGTGAATTAATGTGGGTTAAGATTATTCTAGAAGACCTGAAGATTCAATGGAGCAGACCTATGAGACTATATTGTGATAACAAGTCAGCTATAAGCATTGCTCACAACACTGTACAGCATGACTGGACAAAGCACATCGAGATAGACAGACATTTCATTAAAGAGAAGTTAGATAGTGGTCTAATTTGTACGCCATATGTTCCTACGGGGCATTAGCTAGCATATGTGATGACAAAAAGATTATGTAATAATATGTTCCATGAGAACATTAGCAAGCTGGGAATGGTGGACCTATATTCACCAGCTTGAGGGGGAGTGTAGGAAATCTTGGATGAGATATCATAGGAGGATTTTTAGGAGTTTTCCTAGTATAGGAAATCAGGGGAGATCACCGGATCTTAAAATGGAGCTGATCTGTTTGGATACTTTCCTGATTTTGTGTAACAGAAAGTGTCTATAAATAAAGGGTAGAATAGCATGTAATTATTCATTCATAATAGAAATTCTTTCATTATTCTACAGAAACAAATATTTTAAGTACAAAAAACTAGGATGTCCTAGCCTACGATGGAGTAGAATAATTTGTTCTTTCCTAGAAACGACAGAGTGATCCACAGCAGTATGAGTATGACAACTCACAGATAGATTGCGTTCGAATTAGTAAAGACCCTCAACCTCCTTAGCACTGCCAATCTTCCTCCCCGTAATCAGGTCCTGAAAAACACACGCAGAAGAGGAAAAATTAACCACACAATTTAGTTCTTTAGTAATCTTACTAATAGAAATAAGATTGCATGATAAACTAGGAACATGTAGAACAGAGTTAAGGATGATGGTGGAATTTATTTTGATCGATCCCACTCTTGCAACCACGGAATACGAGCCATCAGCAACCTTAACTCTATGGTTTCCTGGACTCTGGCTGTATGACTGAAACAGGCTTTGACAGCTTGTCATATGGTCAGTAGCCCCCGAATCAATAACCCATGGCTCACCTTTCTTTGTCATGCCCCCAAAGAATTCATTCTTCTTTACCATAAGAGAAATACTCGACTGTTGCTTTCCAGAAAACAAATTGCAAAGCTGCTCCATCTGCACCTTGGAAAGGATGAGACTCCCAGTATTTTGCTCCGGTTTTGAGTCATGAGTAGCTTGAAGACCCCTACTATCTCAATTTTTGAGTCGGTTAGGAACCCAATTGGCTGGTTTACCATGAATCTCCCAGCAGTTTTCCTTGGTGTGGTAAGGCTTTTGACAATGATCGCACTAGGCCTGCCCTTTTTTAGTGAACGAGCGAGTGTTTCCTCGTTTGTTCGATTTTTGTGCAACTAACGCCAAGGTTTCAATGGTAGTGGTTGCCATTTCTCCAAGCATTACTCTCCGGCAATATTCTTCACGCCGAACTTCTAGAAAAGACTTCAATGGATGGCAGTGGTCGCATTCCAAGAACATGGCCTCTCACTTCATCAAGTTCTTTGTTAAGACCTGCCAGAAAATCATAGACGCGATCTTTGTCCTGCATTTTCTTAAAAAGAACGTCTTTGGGATCCTTCCATTGACAGGTGTTGAACAAATCGAGTTCCTGCCACAATTTCTTCAAGGAATTGAAGTATTGAGTCACTTCAAGGTCTCCTTGTTTGAGATTTCTGGCTTTGTTGCGCAGTTCAAATAACTGAGACGAATTCTCGAGGTCAGAATAGGCTAAAGTCACAGCATCCCATATCTCCTTTGCTGTGGGATAAAATAGGAACGTGTCACCGACACTATCCTCCATGGAATGAATTAAGCAGGCCATCACCATCGAGTTCTGAGTGTCCCTATTGGAGTATGTCGAATCAGTAGGCTTCGGTTTGGGAATTGATCCATCCAAATATCTGATTTTGCCTTTGCCTCTAATCACCATCTGTGTTGATTGGGACCATTGGAGAAAATTCTTCCCGTTTAGTTTGTGAGTTGTGATTTGCAGAGACATTGATGAGTTTTCAATGACGGCAGTGGGAATGATTGTGGAGACAGTTTGTGAGGTACCAGAGGTAGCCTCAGTTCCTCTTCCTCCGCTCATTTCTTTGATGCTCTGATACCATAAAAGCTAAATGGAGGAGAAAAACAATCTGAACACTGCTCTTTATTAATTCGAAAACTTAATAACTTTACAGGAGAAATACACTTTATATAGTCTAGGAGAACGAGTCTAAATAACCACCTAACTTCCTAAAAACTAGGAGATAAAAAAGCTAACAGATACAACAGCTTTACAACCCAAAATACACGGATAATCTAACCTTATCCGCTAACATATATATATATATATCGAATTAAGCCATTATGCTGTTACTGAAGAATGCTGAAATCTGTATTAATGCCTAAGTTGATATGTGGGATGGTTATAGGGGGATTGCTGTCATTCAAGGATTTGGACAAGCATAATAGTGTTGCTTTCAAGTGAAACTGTGTAGCTTAGCTTGGTGCTGTTTGACCTGTGTTTAAAAAGTTTGTTTCTTCTTCTTCCTTTTCAGATTCAATAGTCTAAATGTTGGAGGTTAAATCTGTCTAGATCTATTTTATGCTTTTCTGGTTCTCGGGCTTCTAATATTCCCCTTTATAAATTCTTATTAGAAAGAAAAACAAATCCAAAATGCAATGCGTTTAGATAATTTATTGCATTTTTTTAATCTATACTTATCCTCTGAATGACTAAAAGATATATTATATTGACAGAGGACGAGGAACTTGTCACGAATGCTCTTGAGACGGTTGTAAATTTGGCTCCATTGCTTGATCTCCGGATTTTTAGCTCATCAAAGACCTCCTATATCAAGATAAAGTAAGAAATTAATACTCATATCCTGTTCAGCTAAAGCTACTCTTGTTTCTGTTTTCTGTTCTTTAAGTTAATTTTTTTTCAAACAGAGAGAAGCGTGCAGTCCAAGCTATCATGGGGATGCTAGGATCTACAGTCAAAGCCTGGCATTGTGCAGCAGCTGAGTTGCTTGGGCGTTTGATAATAAATCCTGATAACGAGCCTTTCCTTCTTCCAATTGTTCCGCAGGTTAAGATTTGGGAAATCCTTTATTATTAACACATATAAGTAAATGCATTTAGTGTAATGAGGGCTAAAAACGATGTCATGCAGCTACACAAGCGCTTGGTTGATCTTGTGAGTTTCCCGGCATTTGATGCACAAGCAGCAGCTGTTGGTGCACTTTACAACCTCGCAGAAGTAAACATGGACTGCCGTTTGAAACTTGCTAGTGAGCGATGGTAAGAGTGGTTCTTTCACTTTTCCCTGAATTAAAGTGAGAGTTCTGTGGCTGAAGCAAAAGTATTCCTGTTTTCTTTTTGCTGATTTCAGGGCAATAGATCGGCTACTAAAGGTCATCAAGACACCTCATCCCGTTCCGGAAATTTGCAGGAAAGCTGCTATGATATTGGAGAGTCTTGTGTCTGAGCCGCAGAACAGACCGTTGCTGCTAGCTTATGAGAGTGCCTTTGCGGAGATATTATTCTCGGATGGGAAATACTCCGATACATTTGCCAGGATATTATACGAACTGACAGCGCGACCAAACAGCAAATTTTCAGCTGCTCGTGGTGTCTGGGGCATGTAACTGAAATTTGCGCCTTCAGGTGACGTGCTTTTGGTTTATTATAGGAACGGTGGATTGGTAGTTAGCTAGTACATCTAGGTTCTTATTTGTATTTGTAGATGCAGCTAACTCAAGTACCAGCGTTTCAAATTGCCGGTAATCATATTTCCCTCTCTATTGTATTATTTTACCGGATAGTGTATTTATAAAAACCCTCTAAGCGATGTTGTTGCCATGGTGTTTCTGTTTCAATTTCAATGCACAAGAATGCTCATGTAACGTCTTAGAGCTGTTTCCTTAGTGCATGTTTCTAACGTCAAATTTGATTAAAATCACATCAAAAGGAAGAAGTTAGTTATAAAACTTACAAAACTTGATATAAATCTGGCTTATATTTATGGAAAGAAATCTTTTATTTTTCACTTTGTTGGTCGCTCTTTTATTGCAAACTCTCTGATGTGAAAAAAAGAAGTCATGTTATTGAAGAGTATTATGTCACGTTATGCATTTATGCCCCGCAAGTTGAACTTTGAAGTCCGCCGACGCTTACCTACACGGATATTTTCTTATTCAATACATTCCTATTGCTCTTGATTCATTCATCTTTCTTTTGTGCCCTTCTCACTAAAATTGAAACTGCCTCTGAAGCAATGTTTAGAGAGAATCTAAAGTCCAATTTGCTCGTCTTACCTCGGAAAGTTTAATCAGAATCAATCAAATTTCACTTTCAATCACAAAATGAGCCATAGTAAATAAACATGTATGGAAAAAATCCCACTTATTACTCAGATAGAAACATTCACTTAAGTTAAAAAAAAAAAGGACCATTTTGGTGACACTAATTTCTTTAATTCCCCTTAAAGAATCACATGTAAAAGGAAGTAAACGCCCCAATGAACTCCCCAATAACGTCCTATAGACACTGAGTTCCAAACACATAAAGAAAGAATTAGACTAATCATCACTTCAAAGAAGCAATGGAGACCAGTTGAGGCACATTAACAGGAAATTCATGAATCTCATCAATCCAAGGATTCTTCTCCTTGGCAGGATTGATAGTCCTCAATGCCCTCCACACAGCACTGTTGCACTTGAACCCTGAACCGAATGCAATCTGCCATGTCCGATCGCCTTTTCGGATCCTCCCTTTGGCCTCAGAGTAAGCCAATTCATACCAAAGAGAACTACTAGAAGTGTTTCCAAATCTGTTGAGTGTCATCCTTGAAGGCTCCATATGCCAGTCACTCAGCTCAAGATTCTTCTCCAGTTCATCCAAAACGGCTCTTCCACCAGCGTGAATGCAAAAGTGCTCAAAGGCCAACTTGAAGTCCGGGATGTAAGGCTTTATCTTCATCTTCAAGATCTTTCTTCCGACGAGAGTAGCAAAGAAGAGGAGCTGCTCCGACATTGGGAGAACTAGGGGACCGAGGGTTGTAATGTTGGTCTTGAGGGCTTCTCCAGCGACCGCCATGAGGTCCTTGGAGAGGGAAACACCAATGCGTTTGGTGTCGTCTTCCTTTTGGAAAACGCAGTTGTAGCACTTGTTGTCGGCGCCCTTGTGGGTGCGGACAGTGTGGATGAGCTGGTACTTGGAGCGGCGGCGGTCAGAGGAACGATTGGAGAGGAGGATCGCGGCACCCCCCATGCGGAAGAGGCAGTTGGAGACCAACATTGAGCGGTCATTGCCAAAGTACCAGTTGAGTGTTATGTTCTCCATGCTCACCACCAGAGCATAGGAGTTTGGATGCACCTGTCCGTCCAAATTACCAAAATACTAAAGTCAGGAATTAGATCAACTAATTTATATGTTGTTTTCTAAAACCAAATTTATTCACTAAATATAGTCATGACCATTTTACCAATAGTTAAACTTTTTGGGTTAAGTATGCATGGTCAAAAACATTAAATGAAGTTTTTTTTTTTTTTTTTTTTTTTTTTTTCCTAAGAAAATACATCAAAATATTATGATTTAATATGATAAGAGTGTTCATTTCTTAAAAAACGTCATATTATATCATCAAAATCAAATACTAAATGAATTAATTTGAAAAAGAATAATATATATATATATATATATATCAGAGACATTTAATACGGTAGGTTAATTATTTAAAAATAAATTACACCACTATCTAGAAAAATGCTTTGAAAAGGTATTGACTTTTGACTCAGTGAATTAACTTAGCATGATGAAAGCAAGGAAAAGAAGTATAAAAAGGACAAAAAGTATGTTTACTAAGACATAATAGTTCATTTCACTGATTCGAGTTTAGAATTCGAGTTTTGTTACAGTAAAAAATTCTCAAAAACAGTCACATTTAACATTTTTGTTACAATAAAAAGCTCTCACATAAAATAATATATCAATTCGAATTAAAAACTCAAATTAACGAACTAAATGGTCCTAAAGTTTTAACTATGCCAAATTAAAATAAATAATAACTGCATATATATGGTCAGTATCTCCATGTACCAACATATAAACATATACAGGTCGCATCTATTTATTGCTCTGCACCTATACATTAATTCTCCCAAAAAAAAAAAAAAAACCTTATACCACCACGAAAAAACCATTTAAAAAATTAAAACCACAAATAAGTAATCATAATAAATAAAAATAACCTGGAGAAGCTGCTTTGCAAGATCAATGGAGATAAGGCCAGCACTACACCCCATTCCTCCGAGATTATAGCTCATAATATTCCCCCTAAGCTTGTAATGATTCACAATCATGGCCGAAAGCGACGGCGTCGGATTAAACAAACTGCAGTTTACCACAAGTATCCCAATATCCTTAGCCTTAACCCCAGTCTTCTCCAGCAGCTCATCAATGGCGCCAAACATGACCGTCTCGGCCTCCTTCCTGGCCTCCGCCATGCACGGGTTCGGCGGGACCCTCAGCACCGCCTCCGGCATGTACGTCTTCTGCCCGAGCCCCGATCTTTCCAGAATCTTCTTCTGGAACGCCAGGTTCTCCTCGGTGAAGCAGTTGGTGAGGTTAGACCTTTCCATGAAAATCTCTCTGGTGCAAGTGCGTGCCGGTTCGGGCTTGTAGCAAGAGAAGTCAAGCAAGTAGACTTTTCTCGGACGTGTCATGAAGTAGAGAGTGGCGAGGAATACGAGGAGGCTCGAACAAAGAATGACGGATACGAGGTTGAATTTGAGGTGGTTCCAAAGTTGGAGGAAGTCTTGGGGTTTGAGAGTTGAGAGGTGAGCTGAGGAGATGGCCAAGAGAGGGATGAGTAAGATGTACATGGCGTTTGTGATCAAGTAGTGGTAGCCAAGTTTGACGTATTTGAGCTTCACTGATAAGAGGAAGTTTGGGAGTTTTGGCCTGTGATCATCAAGGTTTTGAACTTGAATATTATTGGGTTGATCATGATTTGCCATGTTGAAGAAAGGACTGGGTTGTATGAGAAGTTGAGAAGTTTGATCCTCTCTCGCGGTATTAATATAAAGAAATTCCCAAGATGGGGTTAACTTGTTAAGTGTGAAAAGAAGAAGTTTGTTTATTTATTTATTGTTTCTCCTTTTGGCTAGTTGGGGGTTGGAGATGTTGATATTATAAATGTGAAAGGTAATTAGCCAAAAGCCCAATATTTGAAAATTCAAAGTTATGGGTGAGAAATGACTAATTTAGAATCAAAAAACTTGGGAGAAGAAGGAGATGCACAAGATTTGTGTGTGTGTGCGTGTGACTTATGTAACAAAGATTTAGAAATCAGAAATTGGGTTGGCTTGAAGTATGGAGAAGAAAATGGAAGAGAGAGAGAGAGAGAGAGAGAGAGAGAGAGAGAGAGAGAGAGAAGGGAAGAATGGGTAATGGTGGCTTGAGAAGATGGAGAAGGGGACAGTGGATTGGGGGGATTTAAAAGAGTGTGAGTGTTGTGGGGATGATTTGATTTTAGAGGGGGAGGATGCAACTACCCGAACGAACTTTTAATGGTTAAGAGAAGCATTGAATTTGCCAACCGGAAACTAGCAGGCATTTTTATTATTATTAGTATTATTATTATTATTTTTAATTTTATATTTATTGAATATGTGATAATACCTAGTTGACCTACTTTTGCTAGACTATTTTCTGCTTTGCCACTTGTATCATTGGGTTATATATGGACGAGTCATAAGGGCGTATGAATTCGCCGTATGAAGCATTGATTTTGGTGTACCTGTAAACTAAAAGTATGGCAAAGTGAGTAATTGTACCTAAATTATCATACACATGTTGGTGAACTATGTAGCTAATAAACCCATATGTGTTTTTGCCCACCAAAAAAGAAAACCAAAGTTTTTTTTTTTTTTTTTTTTTTGGGTACCGTGTGGAACACTGAGTATTATATAGTAATGTAGTCTTATCGTCGGTCTACAAACTACCATATTGAAAACATAGCCATATACGATGGTTTTTCCCCTTTTTTTTTTTACTTTTAAAAGAAGTGTTTTTTTTTTTTTTTTTGTTTATATTTTTACTACGAGGGAAAAAAAATAATGTAAGTTAATTGTTCTTGTCATGATTTTATGGTAACTTTGATAAATGACATAATTAATCATCGCTGATAATATTGACCACAAAATGGAACTTGTTATACGCTTATTGTAGGATTAACGATTAAAAGCTCATGGGTGCGTTTTAACTAGCAAAAAAAAAAGAAAAAAGAAAAAAGAAAAAAGCTCATGGGCACGCTGCATGCAGTATGACGGTCTCTCCAGTGCACCATGTGACAAGTGATCGTATAAATTATCACTTTTCACTACAAGAAAAAGGTAAACCCGCATGTCGTTGTAAGTAACTGTTTTTGCGACGACGTGTCGTCGCAGATTTATCGTCGTAAATAATTAGTCGCAAAAACTTTTTTGCGACGATCGTCGCAATCGTATTTGCGACGACATGGTATTTTTACGATGACATGCGTCGCTAATAGGCCGTTGTAAAATTCTCGTGATATAATAATTTTTTGCGACGACATTTCAAATTGTCGTCGCAAATAATCTCTTTTTTTTGCGACAACAAATCTAAAAAAGTCGTCACAAAAAACCGAAATTAATTTTTTTTATAATTTTTAAAAAATGGCAATTAATTAATTTTAATAATTTTAATTAAATATTATTATGTAACATACTGAATATAATTTATTAAGATACATTAAAAGTGAAATATAAATTAATATTAAAAACAGTAAATCTAAATAAATTTATAAAATATATTATGAATACTACATGAAGTGCATATATAATGTTTAAAAAAATATAAAAGTCTAAATAAAGTGAAAAGGAAAATAGTAAATATAACGGAACTAATCGTCTAAGCTTGCAGCATCGCCAACAGCTGAATCATCATCAGGACTGTCATCATCTGAAGGATGCAGAGGAGCGTCTAGGTCAACTGGTTCTGGATGATCAACCGTAGGTAATTGGATGTTGGGTTGCAATTTAGCCACCAACTCTAACACATTCACCTGATTGTCATAAATCTTAACTTGTTCCCGGTACGATTTCACTAAGAAATTTAAAGATGAATACTTAGTGTAGCCCGGATACAATCCCACCTAGAGCTCAGAAAGTAGATCCTTAAATTCAACGTACTGTGTATCTTCCAGATCCACATGCGTCTCATCCAACATTTCATTGTCATCATTAATCCCAACAACGTCTTCTAAGACTGCAAACATCTCATCTACTGGTTGATTAACTATTGGGTCGACACCTGAAATCGCTTCTACTTCACCATGGTGAATCCATGTACTATACAATGGATCAAAACCAAATCGATGTATATGCGCTCTCACAGTTTCTACTACATGCATTTCATGGTTTCTACATTTCACACAAGGACAGCTGATATGGCCAATTGAAGTTGCATAATTTTTGGCGACATCAATAAAATCATATAACCCATTCCAATATTCATCTGATAATTGGTTCCTCAAATAAATTCAACTTTTGTCAATCAGCATTTGAACTATAAACAACAACAGATATAACAATTTATTAATGTGTTTAATTAATTTTAATTTTACTCTTTATTAACACAATTAAATTTTATTAATTAAAGTTTGTTAATCAACTTATTAAAATTCTCGTTTTCTAACTAAATTTCGGCAGCATAACGACTTATTTTTCATATGATCCAAAAATCAAAATCTGCAGAAAAATAACTTTAAAAGATTTCGGCACACCATAGCTGCAAGATGTGCCACCCAGAACAAGAATTATAAACATATACTAAATTTCAACAATATAAAAAATTCATAATTCAAATATTGTCATCATAATCCTGAATTCATACAACCAAAAACTACAACAATTTTAAACTAAATAAATATAAAAAACTTACAAAGTTCAAACCCACTAAACGGGGGTTGAAAATAGCAGGATTACGTCGGAGGAACCGTGCAAACAGTGACGAAGGCGAAAAATCAAACGCCTACATCAAAACAAAACATCGAACATAATTTTCAAACACCAAAATTAAAATTTTATTAACATCTAGAGTAACATATAGATACAATTCTTGATTAATGAATGTAAGTTTAAATTTTCACATTCTCATAACCATAAAAAATGACTAAACTCGAACAAAAATCCATAACATTTTCTATTTTCTATTTCCTTCTTCCATTTTCTCGGCAAGTAACAACAATCCCTAACAAAAATCCCTAACATTTTTCAAATCTAACCAAACAAAAACAAAATTTACAAAAAGAAAAAAAAATAAAAAAACAAACCTGAAATTCTGTTTCGAGCGGGGCGGCAAGGGTGGGGGCGGGGCGGCGGCCGGAGATGGGCGGTGGTGAGGAGAAGAAGAGGAGAGAGTTAGCAGGAGAGAGAGAGAGAGACTGAAATCGGGGGAAAATGAAGAGGAAGAAGCTAATGTATATTAGATCAGACTTATTTGCGATGACAATGTCGTCGTAAATAAATTTAAAATGTCGTCGCAAATACCCCACATCTGGAAATTATTTGCGACGATGTCTGTCGTCGCAAATAATCATTTCCCTGCGTTTGTTCTTGGTCAAATGTGTAAAGCTAGCTTATTTGCGACGACAAAGAGGCAACATCGTCGCAAATAGAGTGATATTAGTTGCGACGACATGTGTCGTCGCAACTAATAAGATATTTGCGTCGCAAAAAATGGATTCCCTTTGGCGGAAAAAATCTGCGCCATTGAAAATTGCGCACCTAAACTATTTGCGACGACATTGAACTTATTAGCGACGACATGCTTAATTTATTTAACGGGGATTAATTGCGACGACATGTCATCATAAATAATGAAATATTTGCGACGACATATGTCGTCGCAAATAATGTCATCGCAAATGATCTTTATTGTTGTAGTGTTTCTTTTGATAAATATGAGTACAGAGAAAGACATTATGCAAGTGTGAATCTACCTATTTCATGACTTGGAAAAAAAAATCTCTTGTACGACTAAAATTTTTCATAATTATCTTGGGGTGAAGCAGGGAATTAGCCAGATTTAAGGAGGGAGGATTGACATGAGTTCGATCCGATGTGCAATTTTTATTTTCTATTTATAAGATGACACTAATATAACATGTGATTTTTTTTTTTTTAAGAATATACAAAAATGTACATTTGCGGTCATGAATCATGATCTACCATTTATTTATTTTTATGTTCATCAAAATTATACTCCCAATTGAAAAAACTCAAAAGCCTAGCTCTAAATTAAAAATCCAAACATTAGCCCAAATTTTTTTTTTTTTTTAAAACCTAACCCTAACCGGTCTTCAATGGTGATTCGCCTTGCCTCGCAAAATCCTCGATGGTAGTAACACCGTGAGCATCACGAGTGCGAGTCCCATGACTTCACAGCGGAAGTGAGCGTTGTGACTCAAGCTTGGTTCGCAACGACACCTTCGGTGAGGAGGTAGTTCCACATTTTATGAATTTCTTTTTAAAAAGAAACAGGCTGGCCATCTGCTAACAGTCTTTCAAGATACATTGACGATTTCCTTTTATTTTCTTAAACTTGATTTATAGTTCCACAGCCAAATATGTTGTGGACCATTACTGTAGTCCCAAATTGATAATGAAAGTTAAACGGGTATGTGGTGCACAATTCACAAATGACAATTAACAAACATCTTGGGTGCATTTGAAACTCGTTCCAAAATGATTTTATTTTTTTTATAAAAATGGAAATAAAGACGTTTTCAATCTCAAACAGAAATCATTTTTGAAAATACGTTTGGTAGTTTTATCAATATATTATTTTCAGTATAAAAAATCAATTAATGTCTCTCTCTCTCTCTCTCTCTACTCGAGAGAGGAGAAAACGGAAACAAAAAATGAAAAACGACTAAAAGTCGTTTTACATTTCTCTCCGATTTTACACTAAACTAAAAAATTATTTTCATTTCCGTTTTTTATCTTTAATTGTGTCAAACGTTATTTCTCTTCCGTTTTTTTCCCTCGAAAAACGTAAAAAACAAAAATAATTCCAAACACACCCCTTGTTTTTTGTTTTCGGCTATAAAGATCATTTATCAGCTCATCTAAAGCCTCTTAATTTTAATTTGTACTACTCAAGGGAGGTCCACTTCTCTAGAACCTTTTGGTGTCCATCATAATATAACTCACCACCTTTTTAGCTTAATTACCATTCAATAACATTCTTCTGCCCTCTTTGGATCAAGACAGGCCACAACATATCAATTGATTTGTGTCAGTTTTGAATGGCAATATTTTCACATATGACCATAAAAAAATATGGGATTTGAAAGAAAACCAAAAAACTTCGGTGGCATTATTTAAGCTTTTAAGAATAGCGGTTGTCCAAGCACTTTCATTAGTGTGACATGTATACACGTAACACAATA